CATTATTTACAGTGATTAATTATCAAAAGTAAATGGCAAAGGGGAATAACTCCTCTCAGTTGAATACAAATTAATAGAGCCCTGGCCAGGACCAGAACACTTGACCACTTGATCCAGATGTTCAAAAATCTTTATTAAAACTTTTACTCTTTTTGCCTCTGATATGCCCAGGTGCAGAGAAGATTTTCAAAGAAATAATGCATTTTTACTACAGATTCACTATATTATTAATAGAGCCCCCCCCCCCCCCCCGCACCAGAACCCCTGACCTTGGGGCCATGAATTTCACAATTTTGGTAGAGTCACCCTTGCTTATCATAACTATGTATTGAATTTGTTTCAATAATACCCAGGAGTAAAGAAGATTTTCAAAGAAATAATGCACTTTCACAATATGATCTATATAGCCCCGCCCTAACACCAGAACCCCTGACCCTGGGGCCATGAATTTCACAATTTTGGAAAAGTCACCCTTGCTTATTAAAGCTATGTATTCAATTTGTTTCAATAATACCCAGGAGTAGAGAAGAAGATTTTCAAAGAAATAATGCATTTTCAGTATATAATCAATAGAGCCCCGCCCTAGCACCAGAACCCCTGACCCTGGGGCCATGAATTTCACAATTTTGGTAGAGTCACCCTTGCTTATCATAACTATGTATTCAATTTGTTTCAATAATACCCAGGAGTAGAGAAGAAGATTTTTCAAAGAAATAATGCACTTTCACTATATGATCTATATAGCCCCGCCCTAGCACCAGAACCCCTGACCCTGGGACCATGAATTTCACAATTTTGGTAGAGTCACCCTTGCTTATCATAACTATGTATTCAATTTGTTTCAATAATACCCAGGAGTAGAGAAGAAGATTTTTCAAAGAAATAATGCACTTTCACTATATGATCTATATAGCCTCGCCCTAGCACCAGAACCCCTGACCCTGGGGCCATGAATTTCACAGTTTTGGAAAAAGCATCCTTATGCACTATTACTATGCACTTAGTTTGTTTAAATAATACCCAGGAGCAGAGAAGAAGATTTTCAAAGAATTAATGCATTTTCACTATATAATCAATAGAGCCCCACCCTACCACCAGAACCCCTGACCCAGGGGCCATGAAATTCACAATTTTGAAAAAGGCATCAATGCTTATTATAACCATGCACTTCGTTTGTTTATATAATATCCAGGAGCAGAGAAGAAGATTTTCAAAGAATTAATGCGTTTTCACTATATAATCAATAGAGCCCCCCCCCCCCCCCCCTTACACCAGAACCCCTGACCCTCGGGCCATGAATTTCACAATTTTGGAAAAAGCTTCCTTGTGCACCATTATAATGCACTTAGTTTGTTTAAATAATACCCAGGAGCAGAGACGATTTTCATAGAATTAATGCATTTTCACTATATAATCAATAGAGCCCCGCCCTAACACCAGAACCCCTGACCCTGGGGCCATGAATTTCACAATTTTGGAAAAGGCATCATTGCTTGTCACAACCATGCACTTAGTTTGTTTAAATAATACCCAGGAGAAGAGAAGAAGATTTTCAAAGAAATAATGCACTTTCACTATATGTTCTATATAGCCCCGCCCTAGCACCAGAACCCCTGACCCTGGGGCCATGAATTTCACAATTTTGGTAGAGGGCCCAATGCTTATTACAATCATGTCCACAGTTTGACTGCTTGATGTTCAGGAGTAAAGAAGAAGATTTTAAAGATTGCATCAATTTTGGTGGTTTTAGCCCCACCCCTCAGGCCCAAGGGGGGCAGAAACCATGAAATTCACTATTTTTGTTCCCCTTCACCCAGAGATGCTATATGCCAAAATTGGTTGAAATTGGTTGAGCGGTTCTAGAGAAGAAGTTGAAAATGTTCAAGAGTTAACGCACGACGCACGACGGATGACGCACGCCGACGGACAGAAACGGATAGCAATAGGTCACCTGAGTGACTCAGGTGACCTAAAAATTTCAATATAACAATAACCATGATAACTACAGCAAATTTATTTTGGGGAAAAAAGCAACTGAAATTGGGAAAAAATCGGTAATTTTTGAGAGGGGAAAAGGCCGATATTCGGACCTAAATCACTGGTTGGTCAACAATGATTTTCAAGGGATAACAATTTCAGATTTTATCCTAAAAACGTGCATGTAATTGAGGGTAACACGGAAAATGTTTTGGAATATTTTTTGGAATATCACCATCTGTCAAGCAATATTGAATGTTGCTATGATCTAATCACGCTGGGGCGTGGTTTCATCATATGGAGGGTAATAAAATACAATTATCCACTTGATGTAAGATAGCACTTTTATTTAAACCCGTCACAAGAACTACTCCCGTAGGGCTCACCCGAGGGGAAAAGTTCCTATCAAAGGTTCGATGTAAGAGCTATCCTACTCATAGCCAGGGTATAAGCATTTTATTATACTGATGCATATTGCTATTTCTGAGCATTTTATACCCCCGAGTATAGCTTTGGGGACTTCTCAGTCTTGGAGGAGTTGCCAATCAATCATATTGCAGAAACTCAAAATTGGCATCAAAAGTTGAATAAAAATTTTCTGAGGGGGGATGGGTGGACAAAACAAACTAATCCATGGGGAAAAGCTTTGCTATACGTAAAATTTTTCAGACTTAAAAAATATTTTTTTGAAAAAAAGGTTAACCATATAGAAAAAAAACATATAAACTATTGGGGGAGGGGAGACACTTTCCTCTTTCTTCATATACAGGCAAAACCTTAGTTTCAAGAGGGATACGTGTTTCTGGGGGGAGGGGTAGTGGTGAAACGATATGCCCCCTTCATGACATGATACGTATCATATAATTTTGACTCGGTTCAGTTATTTTCGATACAATTTCTTTTGACAGAAGGAAGCAAAGTCAACGTTCTTTTTTGTTTTGTTTCACTAAATCAAGTCACTTAATCTACATGATATACAGGCAAATTGACAAGAAGAAATTGTTATTATGAATTGATGTTAAAGATTATTTTACAAACTATCAGTTCTCAAAAATTTACGCTTTTGAAATTGTGGACTGTGGACAAAAGTATCGGAACGATTTACCTTACGTTATATATGAATGCAAATGTTCGCGTTATTTATAGTTATCCCAAACATCATCATGATCATTGCTCCAAATCGTCAATATGCATCAGATGGTCTTAAAAAAATCAGTTGTTATGTTAGTTCAGAATGGAAATTCTTTTCAGAAAGTTGCAGATATGTTTACAATGTCTAAAACAACTGTGCACCGAATCTATAGAAATTTTTGTGAACAAGGAACTGTAAAAACTGCCCCGAAAACAGGTCGAAAGAAAAGGCTGAGCAATCGTGACAGAGGACAGGGTATTAGAAATATCATACTACTCTTAGTATCAGCTGCTTAAGGACCCTCTCTACACTGCAATTAATTTCAGGGTACTTCCTGACCCACCTTTTTAACATTTCCTACATAGAATAAATTGTAATCTGCACTGTATGACACAATTCAAAATAAATCCGAGCATTCTAGACGTTATGTTAGACAGAGTAATATAAAAATTATTAGCATGTATTTTCTCATTTTAGTAAGCAAAATCATTTTTTTTCATTTCTTCATTGTCTTTGAGGATTTTTTCTTGAAGAAAAACCCCCCTGCTCTCTGTATTAAAATGAATTAATTAATTTCGAATAAGCCCTTTTTTATGCTATATAACTTTCTCAAAGTAAAAAAAAAACAACAAAGAACATTTTCATCACTGTATTAGAGGGGTTCTTAATTATCAAGCATACTAACAATTTAATATCAAATTTTTAAAACCATTTACCATTTACAGGCTACAGATAATCAAGTTCTTATTCAAATAAGACAGAGTTCAATTGTGGTATTTTTTTCCAAATACAGTTTTTAAAATTTCATTCTTTATTCTGTTCTGTAAAACATATTTAGCAGTTCTATATTACATCTATTCATGTCATGGATATAATCAGAAAATGAAACATCTATTGCACATTTATTTTTCAAAAAATGAATAAATTATGAAAGAAAACAAAATAGAATCCATTATTGTACACTATTGAAACAGTAAACAGTTTCTTTTCAATACATTATATAAACACATTACCATTAAAAAGGTTAAAGCATTGAAATACATGTTGAAATATCTATAATTCATTAATCAAACACACTAAATATTCAATTATTCATGAGAATATAAATACATATGTTACATAAAATTGAGCATAAAAAGTTTATTTTAGATATCAAAAATAAAAACAAGTGAATCATTAACAAAATTTAATACAATAATAATAATTTTTCACATAATTCCCTAAAGGACTGTGTAAAATATATAAGTGCCACAGTATATGAAGATTAAAAAAAACTCTTTGCATTTAATCACATCACCAGAAAAATGTCTCAAGTAAATTTAAATCCTCTGTAATGTTTTTTATGGGACACTAGCTTTCTACTTAAATCCATCACTATATTTTTAGATAGGAATAAACTTCCAGTTTGTTCCATATATATATAAAATAGAGAGAGAGAGAGAGAGAGAGAGAGAGAGAGAGAGAGAAATATAACAAATATAACAAAACTCATATTTTTACTATGAAATTCATAATTATGATTGATATATTAATTGAATAAGAATAATATACAGATCAAGGCAAAATATATGGCCAATTGTGAGCAGTAAACACATGAACAAATACTTGTATTAACTCTTATCACATTTCCTGAGGTCATAACTTTTAACAGATCTATTCCACGATTTCAAATCAAAGATTTCTGATTTTCTCAATGCTATTTTATTTTCTAATTCTCCTCATATGCCCGTTCCTAGCCCATTTACCCAAAATGCTTTGCATTATGTTTACTTGATATTGATATGCTGATTATGTAAAGTCAAAATTGTGAGAAGTAACATAAACAGACTTGCAAACAAAAGAAGATGATATTTTAGATAGACAGAATATGAAGTTTCCTTTTTGGTTGTAATGCATTAATTTTACTATAACATCAAAATTGTAGTCCTATAAAAAAAAGATAATAAATAATCAATTCTTTTGTAATGTTGCATTTTGGCTCTTCAAAAATTGGAAATTACTTCGAGAAACAGTAAAAAACATATAATGTTGCTCTTGAACGATTTAAGCAGATGATACAGTAACTCTTTCACAATTTATTCCAATCCAAAATAAAAATTCCATCATTTCTTTCCTATCCTTGGAAATAAGGTAGTTATAGGGTTTTGTGTAAAAAATGGTTCCACTTTTTCTACAATCCCTCTTAAGATTTGGATCTGTAGATGCCGTGGTTTCCTTTTCATGGTCTGTCTTTTTATAATATTCATCTTTTTCATCCTCATCATCTGATTTACTTTTGATCAAATCGGAACTGTCATCTACTTCCATTCCCTTTATCACTACATCTTCACCAAAATCATGTATGAATTGATAATGCTTCGTACTGATTTTCAAGCAGGTAAAAATAAGCTGAAAAATATATCAGGTATGGGGGTAATAACTTTAAAATTCAAAGTATTAGTTAAATTTCATTTATTTTTATTTTTTCTTTAAATTACACAGCTTTTAAGACATGCAAACTCTGTTTTTGTTAGACTACCATCCCTCCTTTTGAACTTGGAAACAATAAGTGACATTTTTCTTGAATTAGGAATTTTTTTTTATAGTATATTAGAATGAAAAAATGCATAAAATAATCATACATAAAGAATAACTTAGGTTTTTATTTGATATAAAAAAAATCATACAAGAGACCAAAGGGCCTTAACGATTACCTGAGTACAGTGTATAATACAACACTGTAAATGATCCATTGTTTGTTTGTTTATTGTTTAACATCTCTCTCGAGAATTTTTCACTCATATGGAGATGCCACCACTTGCTGGTGGAGGGATGCAAAGAGCTAAGGGCTAGAATGCACATATATGGCCCCATAATTAACAATATTTTAAAAATATGATTAATGAAATATATTTTTGTGTATTTATTATTTAAGAAGTTGCTCTTAATGAAAATGAGTGACATTCCAAATATGCCACGTCTATGACGTCATCATAACTAGTCAAAATGACGTAGTTTTCATCAATTAGGGAAAATATTGCATTTTTTTTCAACAGATTTTTCAAAATTTCAATGCCTCCACATGCACCCACCATTATAAAAAGTTTGTTACCATTTTATCTTCTTGGTACAAATAAATATTGAAAATATCTTTTTGGTGGAGACATGTGCAGGCTACTAATTTTTAAAAAATATGATATGCACAGAGAGGAGATTTTGCATATGCCATCTGATATTGATGATTTACTCCTACCAAAATATCATATTATTAAATAATATTTGTATGTTATGCTTATATAAGAGTATCCACGTTTGTTATTTTAAAAAAGCATGTTTGATGGCTTTATAAATGTACATTATATAAATACTGCATGTAGTTGAGTGTAACATTGAAAATTTTCACCCCAAGAAAACCATTGGCAACCGAGGCGCAGCCGAGGTTGACAATGGTTTTCAAGGGGTGAAAATTTTCAATGTTACACTCAACTACATGCAATATTTATTATATTATACTGAATGTTTTATACAAATACATATAACAGCGAACCTTGCGTGCATAAATTCTTCGCAGTCACTTTTTTTGGAATATCACCCGTCGTCAAGCAAGGTTGACTGTTGCTACGCTGGAGGGTGTGGCTTCATCATTCGGCGGGTAATAGTGTTTTCAACGAATGTTTTTAAACAAATCAGATTCAACTAATTAACATGAAAGTATAATATAATGATATATAAGGCACCAAGAGCATGTGATGGATAATCTCGTGTAAAATTTTATAATGGTATATGTTTTTTAAACTATTGACTTGATTAATAGTGCTCATACACATGTTTAATTTCCAAATAAAATATTGCTTTCTAAATATATATAAAGTTATATAGTTTTTTTTTCTGTGCGTGCATCGTGCAAGTTCTATAAATACAAAGGTTGCTAGATACGCTAGGTTCATAACAACAGAAGCTTCCGCTTTGTAGCCTACCTGATGAAAATCACCCGGGGTATTGAACCTATTGTTTTATTATGAATGACAGCTGACTAAAGTTACGATATTACAAAGAGAATCAGAAAGGTATTTATCTTTTTTTTTAACACTGACAATCAGACATGAAAAATATTTTTGTTGATAAACAATCAGCCATCCCACCTAAGTTTTTTTTATCGGCTGCTCATGAAAACTACCCTCAGTCTGTCTATGTTCACGCATAACAAAAGGCTTCTGGCATTTAGTTTAAAAGAAACAAATACATAAGGTCCATTTTATCAATAAAGTAACTATATCATCGTGTTGAACACGCCTTGCTGTGCAGCTGCAGCATGCAATCTTGACGTGTTTTTCATACACATATTATATATACCTACATGTGGGTGCTAGACCTATAATTATAGTCCAAGTAGACAGGGTTTGAAAACATAATGCACTTGCCTTCAGTATGTCCAGTATGTGCAAAACCTTCGCTATTGTTATAAAACACATATACTGGAAAAAGTATATATATTAGCTTTCACCTGAAGTAGTGTCGTCTGCGGTGGTGCAGTTGGTTAAAGTGGATGAATGCTGCACTGAAGGTCATAAGTTCGACTCCCATATAAATATTTTTTTTTAATTGTTAATTTTTTTGTAATGAATCTATAAAGAATGGTGCATTTTTGGTTTCTACTTTATAGCGTTGTTATCTAAATGTGATTATGCCAATGCATGTAAATTTTGACACACAAACATTATATTCTACTTACATAATATTACAAAAACTCTATGATTATTTATAATTTAGCCTTTGATGCGAGAAAAAAAAAAGAAATCCTTAGTCCAATCAAGGAAAAATTGCTACTACTGCAGAAACAGAATTAAATAGTGCAATCAATGAACAAAAGTACAAACCACTATAATTTTTCAATTCGAAAAAGGGGAGAAAGATTTTAAACATTATTTATTTTAAAGAATATTGCATTCAGAGTGGAGAGAAAAAAATGATCCATCCTCATTTAGTGTGAAAAAGTTTCTTAAGTGTCCATTAAATATATTACAGGCTTTCTCATTCATAAGCATGCCACTCAGAGGGGTTGAAAGATATGTATCACTTGCAGACTCTATTGAACAGAGAAAAAAATACATGTACTGATTAATAATTTTCCTTAAATGAAGTATATCAATTCAAAGTTACTACATGTTTTTCATTTCTCAGTCGCAGGAAGCAAAGATTTAAAATATAATTTAATTCTTAATATGTTTTCTCATTATTATGGAAATGGCTAAATTCGGAAGATTATTAATGCCAGACTTAAAAAAAAAACAAACAAACAAAAAAAAAAACAACAACAACAAAAACTGAGTTTCTAGATTTTAAGAGGACTTGCTTGTCCCACCCAAATAAATGTTCCAAACTGTACCTGTCCCATCAAACATTCAGTGTATGTTCATTTGTATGTTACACCGGCCCAAGATAAATATTCTCTGGTCCCCAGTTCTCATGGCCATACATGTTACTTACAAAACAGTAGTTTTATTCATGATTGTCGATTTCTACCCAAATAGTTGCAATAAGTACACATGTATAAGAAATGTTATAACTTGCATGCAGGCATGTAGTATCGTTTTAAAAGTGGGAAAGGGGGGGGGGGCTAGAAAAAATGACAAGTTTTTGACAAATCTGAAAAATCTTTGACAGGTACTCAAAAAGGGGGGGGGGGGTCCAAACTTGAAAATCCTTTTGTGTATGTGTTTGTTTGGATGTGGGGGGAGTGTAAATTTTAAATTTTTCCATAATTTTTATTAATATTTTAATTTGGGTCGATTTGCTTTATACTGCAATAAAAAGTGTGGGGGGATTGACTGGCCTTCGAATCAACATTTTCAACTGTGAAATATTATGCTTGGACCCCCACCCCCGATACTACATGCCTGACATGTACATTCACAAATTACTTTCAGTAAATTTTGAAAGTCTTCTTTTTTCGTTTTGTAGTATGTCATCAGTGCAACGTAAATATTTTCCATGCGTCATTTGTAACAAAAGGACACACTCAAAGGAAAGAAGATATTTATCAGGAGCAAGCAACAAACACCTGAGAAAATACATTAGAAAATTGTTTTTAGTTGACTGTGGTGAAAAAGATGTGCTGTGTGGCAGATGTAGATGGGAGTATTACACAAATACAAAGCAGCAAAAGGATCTTCAGGGAAAATCCGCACCCAAAACAGTAGTCCAAACAGGCTTAGCATCATCATCAGGTTTTTCCCCCAAGAATATTACACTGCCGCTTCCAGCAATAGGAGGAAGTCATTCCCCATGTTGTATTTGTAAAAAGCGGGGACTGAAGTTAATAGTTGTGTCATCAAAAGAAAGGTTTAACTGCTTTTTATATCAAAATGTTATTATTCCCTACGGCTCCAGGTGCTGTCCAGTACATATTGAAGATGACATGATGACCAAGGATGCAGTCGATGCTATGAGCAACTTCAGAGAAAACACACACTTTAATAGATCGGATATAATGAATCTCCTGGGAAAAGTACGCGAAGCCCTCCTGAAAAAGGAAGACAAGGGAATCAACTTTGACTCAATGTTCAGTGATAATGACATCAAGAATCTAACAGGACTGGACCAAGCACATTTTGAGAACCTGTTGACATACTTGACATCAATTCGCGATACTCAAGTCTGAAGTGCCAGGACTTGTCTTGGTATGTACCTAACAAAATTAAAAACTGGATTGTTCAATAAAATTCTTGCAACATTATTTCAAGTTTCCAGAGACTTCATCAGATGTGCTGTAAAGTCAATCCAAAAAAATCTCATGCAAACTTTTACCCCTCAGAATAATGGATTCAAACATTTGCCAAGATAAGAGCTCATTACAAATCACACCCGTCCCTTGGCACAGACCCTTTTTGGATATGGTTTGAATCCTGCTATTCTAGTGCTGGATGGAACCTACATTTATATACAGAAAAGTTCGCAGTTTCGGTTCCAACAAAGGTCATACAATTTAGATAAACATTGACCTCTCATCAAGATGATGGTGATAGTCTCTACAACAGGATATTTTGTTAGTGTCATTGGACCATACCTATCAGATTCCCAGAATAATGACACAAAAATACTAAAGTATTTGTTTGCCCATGACAAAGAAGAAATAGTGAACTGGGTTAAGGAAGGAGATGTGTTCGTGGTCAACAGGGGCTTCAGAGATTCGGTGGACTTTCTTAGCAACATCGGAATAAAGACTGAAATTCCTGCATTCTTGAAAAAGGGAGAAAGTCAATTAGACACAGAGCAAAGCAATACATCATGCCTGGTTACCAAAGTGATGTGGATAGTGGAGTCAGCAAATGCCAGACTGAAATCTTGGAAATATTTTGACAGAGTTCTACCAAACACTCTAATTCCCTTCCTTGGTGAGGGTATTTCCATAGCAGCAGCAATTTGTAATAGATACTTACCAGCCCTTAGTACAGGAAAGGAAAATGATGCAGCCATTGAATCAACAGGATTCACAATTGGTGTGTGCCAACCTTCAGAGTCGTCATGTTTCATCTAGAACGTATTTACTTTGGATAATGTTTGACAAACTGCAAGTAAAGTCCTGGTATTGCAGGTGCAGAACTGGTTCACGAGTTGTGGACATGTGTGCGCACATTGCATCTGTGTTATGGTACTTAGCATATGCTCGGCATCTCTCTCAGCCATTCTCCCATGTTAAGGACTGGGTGCACTACTTACAAGATGCAAAGGATTTGCCGCTGCCAGAGGAAATTGACGAAAGTGACACAAGTGAGGATGAATGTGTTGAAAAATAATTGGAATTCAGAGCTGGATTTGTTCATAAGACCTTGTCATTTAAAAATGTAACAAAAACAAACAACTGTATTATTATAAATTATTTTTCAATAACTACATGTAGTAAGCTATTATTGTCACCATTGTGTACTATATATTTCATGTAAAATGTATATGCTTACCATCCCTCATCTTTACGGAATGGAGAGCACATTTTCAATTACAACCACCATAAAAAAGTCACCCTTTGAAATCTTTAACTCATATAATGCAATAATTTGTAATAAAATGCGATTTAGCTTTTCATTGCATACAAAAAATAAAGGTTGTCAATTTATTTTAAATTCAACAATTTTTGTGTTATTTAAAAAAAATTAGCAATAAAATCAGAAAATCAAGTTTTATGGTGAATTGCATAACCCATTAAATAGTTTTAATTGTTGCCGTTGGAGAGACACTTATACCTTTATACTCCCATAATTCCTAGATAAGTAAGTTATTATCTTATCTTTAAGTCCTGCCAATGGTAATTTTTTTCCAAAAAGTTTTGAAAAGAATCTATTTTCATGTATTGTACCCTTTAAATGTAAATGTATGACCTTCTACATGAATAATGTTAATGTCATGATGCTATGGTAACGTCATGACATAATCATATGCACAAATCAATACCAAAATTTATCAATAAAACATTGGTAATCAAAGATTATGAAGCTCACCTCCATGAATGTTATCTATAAGTGAGGCAAATTTCACATCATAATTTTTTTCTAGTTAGGGCACATCCCAAGATCAATATCCATGCAAGTTTGGTTTAATTATAGACCTGCTCAAAAAACTTTTGACCTGTTTACTAATCAAGAAAATTTTGGTCAGTTCTAACATCCAAAGCAAGTCTGGAAGTTTCATCCTTAAATGCACCATCTATGCAAGTTTAATCATAACAGGCTGTAATTTTATATAGCTAATCCAAAAAAAATTTACCCTGGTCACTCATCTAGAAAATGTAAGTCAGATTCAGAATCCAAAGAAAGTCTGGAAGTGTTCATACCTAGATACATCATCCATGCTAATTTAGTTAAAATATTGCTAAAATTCACTCATGTGGAAAATCTAGGTCTGATCCAGCATCCGAAGCAGGTTGGTTAGTGTACATCCCTAGATGCATCATCCATGAAAGTTTGGTCCTGGCAGGGCTTATAGTCACTTTGGAATGGACCTGCTCCAAAAACTTTAACCTGGTCACTCATCTGGAAAATCTAGGTCAGATCCAGCATCCGAAGCAGGCGTGGTAGTGTCCATCCCTAGATGCATCATCCATGCAAGTTTGGTCCAGGTAAGGCTTATAGTTACTTGGGAATGGACCTGCTCCAAAAACTTTAACCTGGTCACTCATCTGGAAAATCTAGGTCAGATCCAGCATCCGAAGCAGACGTGGTAGTGTCCATCCCTAGATGCATCATCCATGCAAGTTTGGTCCAGATAGGGCTTATTGGGAATGGGACTTGCTCCTAAAACTTAAACTGGGACGCCGACGCTAACGCCGACACCGACGCCGGGGGTATAGCATATGTTCATCTCGACTTCGTCGAGGTGAGCTAAAAATAAATTGTTTTATAAGTATTAGAGAATTATTTAAGAGAGTCCCATTCATTTCTGACATGGGGCCAATTTTAGCCCTTAGAGCCCTTACCTCTTTATACCTATACTCGACACTCAGGGCCATTGAGTGAGAGATCTTTTTCGTGCCAACACCTACTGCGACACGGAACCTTGGTTTATAAGGTCTCATCCAAAGGACTGGTCTCCAGTGGATTTGAACCCACGATGTAAGGATCATCTCCTTACTCCGTGACTCTAACCACTGCACCATGTGGGTGACAAATGATCCATTGAAATACAGAACAAAATTAACTGTTAGATGAAGCTATTTTGCCCAAGAATTTTAAAAAATCTGGTAAAAATCCCCTTGCTTATTATCCCCTCGCAACAGAGCAAATAAAAAAAAAACAAGAGGCTCAAGGGCCTTGAATCGATCTTCTGATATCTGATAAACTGTACAACCTATCACTTCTATTTGAAGCCTCTAAGTATCCTGTATATTTAGATAAAGCCTTGATATTCCAAAGGAAGGTCATCATGACCTACATTTTAGATGAAACACTCTGAGAACCCAAGATGATTCTAAGCCAATTAGTACCTGAGAGTTGGTCATGGTGACCTACTTATCACTTGTCATTCTCTGAGGACCCAAGATGCATCAACTAAGTTTGATGATTCTAAGCCAATTGATACCTAAAATATTTTTTAAAATTATAACCATAAAATTTCAAAAGTAGGTCACAGTGACCTCCTTTTCAGATGACATGCTTTGAGGACCCAAGATGCATCAACTGACAAAATTTGATGATTCTAAGCCAATAAGTACCTGATATATTTAAATAAAGCCATAAAATTTCAAAAATAGGTCACAGTGACCTCCTTTTCAGTCGACTAACTCTGCGCACCCAAGATGCATCAACTGACAAAGTTTAATGATTCTAAGCCAATTAGTACCTGAAATATTTTATTAAAGCCATAAATTTTCAAAAGTAAGTCATGGTGACCTACTTTTCAGTTGACCTACTCTGAAGACCCAAGATGCATCAACTGACAAAGTTTGATGATTCTTAGCCAATTAGTATACAGTCAAAACTGCCGAAGCGGTCACCCCTATTAAGCATTCACCTCTCATATGCAGTCATTTTATTTCCTCCCAATGAAAATTCCTGTATAATTACCCTTGATCACCTGTCTAACGCGGTCAGTGGTCATCGTTTTTGATCCGAATTGTAATTTCCGACATGCATTAGGCGGCCATTTTGTTTGGTCACATGATTTACATCCGGGTTTTCAAACACGGAATTCCAGGTAACCAATGTACACAAAAATTATACGCTCGAGGTGAGAGAAGGTAAATCGATCAATTTAATTAAGAGTTCAGATACGGATGGGTAAACAAATTAATTGTTGAAATGTATTTACAGTGTTTGTTTTATATATATAACTCAATGAAAATAGGTGATGTTATTCTTGCGAAAAAATGTCAGCGACGAGGAAGGTCTTAACTCTAAATGAACGGCATGAAGCTATTAAATTAATGGACTCGGGACTGAGTGCCCGTGCCGTTGCAAATAAGTTCAATGTTGGGAAGACACAGGTTACAAATATACTTAAAAGAAAAGCTGAGATTATTAAAGATATTGAAATAATGCCCCCGGTGACATGAAAAGAAAGCGACAGAAGACCGGCAACGAGGAAATAAACGACCTATGTTGGAAATGGTTTCAGAATGCGGTGGGAACACGGATAAACGTGACTGGCCCACTGCTGAAATTGAAAGCTCTGAAATTCGCCAAAGATTTAAGAAATGAAAAGCATCTAATGGCTGGTTGGCCTCTTTCATAAAGAGACACAACATCGTGTTTGGAACGCAAAGTGGCGAAAGGGGGGATGTCGACGATAGTCTTGTGCAGACTTGGTTGAAAAGAATTCCAGACCTTATCTCGGAATATGAACCTGAGAACATCTTTAATATGGACGAGACAGGCCTATTCTTTAGGTATTATATTGTTTATATTTAAATAAATATGGTAAAATAACAAAACTATTGATGTAATGTACATAAACATTCATTCATTCATTCATTCATTTATTTTTTTATTTATTTATTTATTTATTTATTTATTTATTTATTTATTTATTTATTTATTTATTTATTTATATTGACAGAGCTACAACCAGACAAACTTTTTATATCAAAGGAAATGACTGTGCTGGGGGTAAAAGATCAAAGGAAAGGATCACCGTAGCCCTCTGTGCCAGTATGACAGGTGAAAAGCTGCCCCCTCTAGTTATAGGGAAATGCCAAAAGCCAAGGTGCTTTAACAGAGTTGACCCAAATACTCTACCAGTTGTTTATAAATTTAACAAAAAGGCATGGATGACATCCTACATCATGGAAGAATGGTTGAAGTCACTTAACAGAAAAATGGTCTGCCAGAAAAGAAAAATTTTATTATTCCTTGACAACGCTCCATCACACCAAAAAATCAATCTATCCAACATTAAACTTCAGTTTTTTCCAGCAAACACTACATCAAAATTACAGCCAATGGACCAGGGTATTACTCAGTGTCTAAAACTGAAATTCAGAAAGCGTCAACTTAAAAAAATGGTCCAAGAAATGGACCATAGCTCAAAATGTGGATCTGAAATTTTGAAAAAAAATTCCTTGCTAGATGCCATCTATTGGATAGACAGAAGTTGGAAAGAGGTTGAGACACCAACTATTGTGAAATGCTTCAAAAACTGTGTTTTTTTTGATAAACAAATTGCTGCATGTATGCCTACTTCAGAAGTGAATGTGGATGATGATGATGATGATGATGAAGATGATGATGTCCCCCTTGCTGTCCTACAGCTGTCAAGAGAAATTTTTGGTTGTGAATTCTTGGAATTAACTAGGATAGATGCCTGCGTAGAAACATGTGACAACAGAGAACAGGACTGGGACAAGCCAGCTTCAGAAATCATCGAGGAAATGAATGAAGAGGAAGAGGAGGAACAAGAGGAAGAAGAGAGTGAAGAGTATGAGTCTGTGATCTGTCGACAAAAATTCTGTGAGCATGTTGAAGAAATGAAAATGTATGCAAGTGTTCATGGGCATGATAAGATTTTGGAAAAACTTGTACATATTGATGAGATGATGACAGAGGACTACATTAAGTGCAAATCTGGAGTTCAAACAAAAATAAGTGACTTTTTCAAAAATTAAAAGACATTCAAAATTGCATGAACTCTATATGTATATACATGTATATAATGATTGTATATATATAATAATTGTGGGCTAAATATAATATATGCTATTAAACAAAAAGGATAAGCCAGTACTTTGTCAATTTTTTGATATATGCCAATACTTTGCCACCATAAAAATGCATCAAATATTTAGTTTAAAAAGTTGTCTATCTTGACAAATTCAGAAATCTGTATTCAAAGGTCACCTCTGTTAAGAGGTCACTTTGTCTGCTTCCCAAAGGTGACAGATTAATACAAGTTTGACTGTACATGTTAATTAGTCATATTTGTCATACAAATTGAAAAATAGGTCATGATGAAAAATATACCAATGGTATATCAACTGAAAATTTTGATGATTCTAAGCATATTAGTCCCTGAAATATTTTATTATAGCCATATTTCAAAAGTAGGTCATGGTGACCTACTTTTCAGTCAACTTACTCCGAAGACCCAAGACACATCAATTGACAAAGTTTGATGATTCTTAGCCAATAAGTACCCGAAATATTTAATTATAGTCATATAAATTGAAAAGTAGGTCGTAAGATGCATCAACTGACAAATTTTGATGATTCTAAGCCAAATAGTACCCAAAAATATTAAATACAGCCATAAAATTTCCAAAGTAGGTCAGGGTGACCTACTTTTCAGTTGTCATACTCCAAGGACCCAAGTCGCATCAACTTACAAAGTTTGATGATTCTAAGTCAATTAGTACCTGAAATATTTAATTAAAGCCATAAATTTTCAAAAATAGGTCATGGTGACCAAGCTATGATGCTGCTATGCCCCTATGGAATATGCAGGTCTACCTTTATTTGCCTGCCATGTTTATCTTAAACCGGAAGTACAAGTTCGTAAATTTGAAATATCGATCCCGACTCAAATTCGACATCGGGAAAAGAAAAAAAAACTGTTTTTCTCAATTCTATTTTTTTTCCTAAAAATTAAATAATTCCCGAGCAGCTGGTTTGTACACCTAAAAATAAAAAAATGCTGGCTTAAATAACTTTTTAATTAAAACTTCGCTGTGCTCTGTGTCACCATCCCATTGGTCTATTAATGAAGTCATAATTGTAATTATACATTTAAAATTTAATAAAATTTTACATTTTGTAATTCACATAAAGTAAAGGATTATAAATATGCTGATACATGTACCAGTAATAAATATCTTTAATATAATTTTATTTAAATTTTAGCTTGTCCACGAACTTTAATGACAACCCTCATATGTTCTAAAACTTTGATCCCCCCATTGTGGCCCCATCCTATGCCCACACGTCATGTTTTAATTAAATTTGAATTTACACTAAATAAGGATGCTCCCATATCAATATCACTAATCAAGGAATTGCTGTTCTTGAAAAGAAGATTTATGAAGATTTTTTGCTATGTTTTCCTTTGAAAAACTTAATTTGAAAAACAATTTTACCTGACAAAAGCACTCAACCAAATCAAAACAAGACTTCAAACTGAATAAAAATTCATAACATGGAGGTTACCCATACAACCTTAAGTTAAGACCAAAAATGTTGAAGGTGTAGCATTTTTAAAGTATTTCAAAGAAATTTCTATTTTAAATAAACATGGCAAAACTTTTTCTTTGAATTCTAAAACTAACTAGAACTGTCCACAAGGGACAAATACCCCCCACTGGGTTTTTCAGAGAAGGTACCAAATCACTAATGTTTTCTAGATGTGAGAGGTGTTCACAATTTGCTTAAACATTTAGAGTGAAAATCTAATAACTCATTATATTTTTTAATGAATGAAAATAAGGTGCAGCCTAATAAAACATCAATACTAATAATTACAGTGTTTTGTATTACATTGAAAAAAGAGTTTGCAAGTATCTGTCATCTTTGTGAGACATGCCACTCTGCAAACTGATTGTTGAAAAAAATATCATAATTAATTAGATGCTGTCATGAGACAGTAATACCCGCACTAAGGTGTTTGCCTCTAAATGCACACTCCTTCATATTGGGCTTACCAAGGAAAAAGTCCAAATAATTCTATAATTTACACAGTACATCTATTCGTCAAATCGAGCATAAAATGCTCAGGTGACCATGTGACCCATGAACCTCTTATACACATTTCATATACTTAATTCATTACCAGTCTGAAATAACAGAATTTAATTAATGATGTAAATTAGGTTTTGATAAAGGAGGGGGGGGGGATATATATTTTTGGCCCATAATTGGAACTTTTTAAATTTATTTTCTCAACAACAAATAATATTATTTTATTACAAAGCATTTTTGATGAATTTATCAAAATGTGCAAGCTTTTTTTTAGTATTGATTAGGCAAAAACCTCCTTGAAAAGCCTTGACCCCCCCCCCCCCCCCCCCAACACACACACACAATTTGCCTGTTTTTGGAAATAGGCCTAGATTGCAACGTTATGTTAAAACATCGTTTGTTATGATAATTTAAAATTTGTTCTTGTACTGTACATGTATGTGAACACCTTTTTGAAAATTTCTACATCACATTGGGCTTGCGTCACCCTACCAGTGCTAGTACTAGTTTTACCATTATCATTTTTAGATTGCACATGCCATGTGACATGGTGCAGTGTTACATGTTTATCAGTGGAAATTAATTCATTTTGTGTTTTAATTGGATTATATTTCATGAAGTTGACAGGACCTATGACAGTCAGTAAGTACAAGTTTAAGTATAGATTGGGTTAAAATAAACCGAAATGCAAATGGTTAGGTTAAAGTTTAAAAAGGATCAAAGATCATCGGCAATCTCTTATGCAGAGTTGTCATTCGTTTCTCTCTCAGACACTGAATGTATGAGCCGATGGTAGAGAGTGGATCATCGGATGCCACAATAGATGAATTTCATATTCTGAAGAGTTATCTCCCGTTGTCGACATTACATTCAGTTACAGGCACAGATCCGGGAATTTTTTTCCGGGGGGAGGGGGGGGGGGGGGGGGGTTGGGATCCACACCTCAGTCCAAAAAAATTCCAGCCCAGAATTTCCTGAGGAGCAAAAAAAACAAGAGGCCCATGGGCCACATCGCTCACCTGAGTAACTTTGGCCATGCTGTTCTTTACCAGATTTCGACCCTTTTAATATACCTATTGTGGCCCCGCCCTACCCCCGGGGAAAAAAATTTGAACAATTTAGAATCTACACTACCTCAGGATGCTTCCAAATATGTCTCAGCTTTATTGGTCCAGTGGTTCTTGAAAAGAAGATTTTTAAAGATTTTTCTTATATATTTCAATGTAAAACTTGGATTCCCTATTGTGTCCCGCCCTACCCCCGGGGGTCAAGATTTGAACAATTTAGAATCTACACTACCCCAGGATGCTTCCATATAAGTTTCAGCTTTTCTGGCCCAGTGGTTCTTGAGAAGAAGATTTTTTAAGATTTTTCCTATATATTTCAATGTAAAACTTGGATTCCCTACTGTGGCCCTGCCCTACCCCCGGGGGTCATGATTTGAACAATTTAGATTCTACACTACCCCAGGATGCTTCCATATAAGTTTCAGCTTTTCTGGCCCAGTGGTTCTTGAGAAGAAGATTTTTAAAGATTTTTCTTATATATTTCAATGTCAAACTTGGATTCCCTATTGTGGCCCCGCCCTACCCCCGGGGGTCATGATTTGAACAATTTAGATTCTACACTACCCCAGGATGCTTCCATATAAGTTTCAGCTTTTCTGGCCCAGTGGTTTTTGAGAAGAAGATTTTTTAAGATTTTTCATATGTATTTCAATGTAAAACTTGGATTCCCTATTGTGGCCCCGCCCTACCCCCGGGGGTCATGATTTTAATAATTTAAAATCTACACTATCCCAGGATGCTTCCACGTAAGTTTCAGCTTTTCTGGCCCAGTGGTTCTTGAGAAGAAGATTTTTTAAGATTTTTCCTATATATTTCAATGTCAAACTTGGATTCCCTATTGTGGCCCCGCCCTACCCCGGGGGGTCATGATTTGAACAATTTAGATTCTACACTACCCCAGGATGCTTCCATATAAGTTTCAGCTTTTCTGGCCCAGTGGTTCTTGAGAAGAAGATTTTTAAAGATTTTTCTTATGTATTTCAATGTAAAACTTGGATTCCCTATTGTGGCCCCACCCTACCCCCGGGGGTCATGATTTTAACAATTTTTAAATCTACACTATCCCAGGATGCTTCCACATAAGTTTCAGCTTTTCTGGCCCAGTGGTTCTTGAGAAGAAGATTTTTTAAGATTTTTCCTATATATTTCAATGTCAAACTTTGATTCCCTATTGTGGCCCCGCCCTACCCCGGGGGGTCATGATTTGAACAATTTAGATTCTACACTACCCCAGGATGCTTCCATATAAGTTTCAGCTTTTCTGGCCCAGTGGTTCTTGAGAAGAAGATTTTTAAAGATTTTTTCTTATGTATTTCAATGTAAAACTTGGATTCCCTATTGTGGCCCCGCCCTACCCCCATGGGTCATGATTTTAACAAATTAAAATCTACACTATCCCAGTATGCTTCCACATAAGTTTCAGCTTTTCTGGCCCAGTGGTTCTTGAGAAGAAGATATTTTAATGACCCCACCCTATTTTTGTCTTTTCTTGATTATCTCCCCTTGTAAGGGGACTTGGCCCTTTATTTTAACAATTTACACTCCCCTACACCCAAGAATACTTTGTACCAAGTTTGGTTAAAATTGGCCCAGTGGTTCTTGAGAAGAAGTTGAAAATGTGAAAAGTTTACAGACGGACGGACGGACGGACAGACGGACGGACGACGGACAACGGGTGATCAGAAAAGCTCACTTGAGCTTTCAGCTCAGGTGAGCTAAAAACCAAACAAACAAACAAACAAAATATAAACAATGATGGTAGGGTCCATGTTTTTAAAGGGGGAGGGCATCCAAAGTCATTTTTATTTGTTTCTGTAAATCAGTATATAGTCCTATTTAAATAACTCTGCAAATTCCAGGGGGGGGGGGGG